CTAAGCTTATAAAACTAATAACCTCCTTCTTATTAAATAAAAAATACTTATTAAGGGATTTTTAAAATATTATACTTAATACTAGCGCTACGGAATTCTTAATTACGGGCTACCCTTAATTCCTTATATTATAATAATAACGACTTAAAGTTATTTTTAATACTTTTAGAATTAGTAAAGTAAGTATTTAATTTAGTAATAACGAACCTATAAGGTTATTAAGATTTATAGTTATTAGTACCCTATTTAATAATATTACTTTTTATATTTTACTAACTAATACTCCTTTTTTATATTACCTAAAGGATATAAATAAGCTAAGAGTATACTTTAATAATATTAATAACTTACTAATTAAAAGAGATATTATAATACTTATTATTTATAAATAAGGATACTCTTAGCTTTTATTTTTTAATAATAAGAAAGCTATTACTAACTATTTAATAGAGGGCGAATTATACTACTTATATTAGCGCTTTAGCTACCCTTTAGTTCCTCGTTTCTTAAAACTACTTTAATAATTTAATAATAATATAAAAATTGTAGCCCTCGAGAAGCTTATAAAGATTTATTAATAATACTAACTTAATATTACTACCCCTAGCTAATTTAAATTTATTTTATAAAATAATTATAATTTTAACTATAAAGTCGTAATTAATATAATATACTTAATAAATTATAAAAGTACTAATTAACTAATACTTTACGTCGTTAATACTACTACTTCTTTCTAAGTAGTAAGGTTCTTTATAAATATAATTACGAAGTATATATAAAAGGCTCTTTAGCTATATTAAATCGACGTTTACCTCGGTCCGCTAGACTAAATTATTATAAATATTAGTAAGAACTTTAGTACTATAGAGTTTAAATCTTTTACTAAATTTATATTTATTAAAATTAAAAAAGTACCTATTGAAGCTTATAATAATATTAATAAAGCTAAGAAATACTACGTAGTATTTAAAAAGGTATATAATATTATTTAAAATAAGTACTTATTAATAAGCATAGAGGCTATATTTTAAGCTATAATTAAAGTAGTTAATAATATAATTAGCCCGAATAGCCTCGTTTTTATACTCCTTATTTTTAGAGCTTTTTTATATATTTTTAATAAATCCCTATTATTACTAAATATTACTTAACGTATAGAGGTAGTTAAAAAAATAATAAGAAAAGTCCGCAAACTTTATATTAATAAGTAAGTAAATAAAGTACTAGCTACTTAAAATAGACTAAATATTTCCTATATTATTAATTTATTACTATAATTAAATATTAAAGTCTAATAAAAAAGTAAGGAATAAAAAGGCCTATTTAAGCTCGTCTTAATAAATAGTACTACTTACGTAATAAAATTACTTTACGGCTTAATAAGCTTTTAGGCTACTATAATTAAACCCTAATACTTAGAAAAGGTTAACCCCGAGCTATTAGCTATAATAATAAAGTACGTTAACCGCTTACTAATCCCTATAATTAACTAGCTAATTAATAATAGCGCCGCTATAAATAAAATCCTTAATAAGATTGTTATTATAATTAATAATAACCCTTTATTATAAAATAAAAAGATTAAAAAAATATTAATATAGTATGGCCGTAATAATACTTTTATAATTATAACTTATTTTATATTTAAAAAGAAAGTAAATCTTAAACTAGTTACTAAGCTCTATAATAAGGGTATTATTACTACTTTAAGAGCACTTTTTATAAAATTTATTAATAAAGAGCTTTTAGGATTAATAAAAAGAGGGGTAATTAAATTTATTTAACTTAGCCCTAAATATAAAAATATAAAAATATTTAAATCTTAATTCGTTAACGAGATTAAAAACCTAGGACTTAACTTTATTAAAAAGTCTTACTTAGTTATATAAGAGTATAATAACGAGGGAAAGAAAAAGATCTTTATATAATTATTAATAATTTAAAAAACTAATTAATATTTAATCCTCGCCCTAGCCCTAACCCTAATCTAAAAAGGCTATATTATCTAATTATAAAATATTATTTAAATATATATATAATCGAGCTAACTTTTTTATTATAAGGTTTTTACTTAATTACTAACTTAGATCTGTTATTTATATCCTAAGAGTATTATTCTATACGTTATATAGTTACTATATAATTTTATAAAATCTAGTACTTATTAATAAGTAATATATAATAAGTATTATTTAAAAATACTTTAAATAATAATATCTACGTTCGATCTATACTTACTAATCTTAATAAGAAAAAGCGGATTATTTAGTATTATTAGTATATAAACTAATAATATTATTAAATTATTAAATAAGGCTTTTAATTAAAAAAAAAAACTAAGCTTAAGCGCGCTAAGTTACTAACTAAATTAAAATAATAATTATTAATTAACGAGCTACTTATTTTTAATAATAGGATTATCTTATTAAAAAGTATTAATATAATACTTAAATAAAAGAACTAAAAGAAAAAGCTTAAATAAGTTAACTTCTTAATATTAAATACTAAATAATAATTCGTTAAGTAGCGAGCTTAAGGGGCCTATATCGTATTAATTTACTAATTAAAAATAGTTTTTAATACGTCGTTTATTACTTAATACTAAGTAAATCCGTCGTTTATTAACTACGCTATATTAAACTATTATATTAAATAGTAAATAGATTACTTAGACTAAGGGCTTATATTCGTACTATTAGATCTAACTATAGCTAAACTCTTCGTTTTTATAAATAGGTTATTTATAAATAACGCTAATTATACTTTATAACTAGATTATATTATTATTTTTATAAATAAAAAATAGATTAACGAGAGCTTTATAATTAATAATAATATTATTTATTATAGCTTTATAAAAAATAAAAAAAATTACTTAGAGCGTATTAATATTAAAAGTTTATAAAATAGTTATAAGTATTAACGTTACTTATACTATTTTAATTACCCTAGACCTTATTACTAAATAACTCGATATTTTAAAAATCCTTATTATAATTTATATAAATTTATACTTATTATATAAATACCTTATTAAGCTAAGTACTATAAAAAAAAGCGCTTTATAATAGATATTATAATACTTAGGTAATTATATAAATACTACGAGCTTTATAAGATCCGTTAGATTAATAATAATAATAACTTAGCTAACGGATTTATAAAGAGTATATTAAATAAGTCCCTCGAACAATTTGTTAGTAAAGGAATTATTATAATTAAAATAAAAAAATAAGTAATACGTAGTTAAAATAGTAATATACTATAAATAATAAATCGTTTAGCGAATATATATACCTCTTAGGCTTTAGCTTAGAAAGAAACGTATATATTCGGGGCGTAGTTAGACTAATAAAAAGCTCTTTTTTTAACTATACTAAATTTAATAATTTTTAAGGAATTTAGGTATATAAATTATATATATTAAAAAATAAAGAAATAATTAGAAAGAGGGGATACTAAAAATTTCTATATAAATAATTATAATAGAAGCTATATTAAAATTTTAATATATAGTTTTAAGCATTTCTAAATAAGGAATTAATTATAAATTCTATTACTAATTCTTATTAGCGGGGGACCTAGCCCCTATTCTAGCCTTTTTTATTATAAAAATAAAAAACTATTAATATTAAATTATGAGGTAAAAAAGGGGCCTTATTAAGTAGTTAAGTAGGGGTAGTAAGTAGGTAGTCTAGGCCTATGTAGATGGACCCTTCTACCTACTTATACCTATTAAGGGACCGCGGGCTCTGCCCATAATCTTCCCCTCCTATATACACGCAATAGACCTATACTAACCTATTGACCTAGTCGCGACCGAAAGGTCTGACCTGCCTACGTGTATACCAACACTAATGTAGTACCCACGAAGGGAATACCATGTCAGGTATTGTCTGCTCGCTCACTAAGTCAGTATGTTTGTCGTTCCCGCCGTTACCGTGAATTGCGCGGAGTGGAGTGCCGTCGAGTGGGGCGTTGTATGTGGCGATTCATTTAGTTCCGGAGACCTCCCTTAGACCTGGCATCGTTGAAGAGAGGATAAATCCAAGTTTCGACAGCGGAGCGTCCGTTACTATCCACTAGGCTAAACTTAATTCTCTCTTGGCAATGTGATTCTGCCGCGGTCTGAAGAACGTTTAGGTGCAGTTCCTAGATCAACGTAGATCCTCGGACCCTTAGTTGAAGCGTTCATTCCTTACTCTTTCTATACATAGTTGAAAACCATATACGGTGTGAATCAATGCTTGGAGAAATGGCTCAAACATAAGCCTCATAAAGCTTCAGCGCTGTCAAGCTGGAAGACGGGAATCTTCAGAATGGCTGCATTCTGAGTATCGACGGAGAGCCGCTCGGATCCGATGGGACAACATACGGAGATTGATAAGGAGCCCCATCGCGGGCCGCATTTATTCAATAGTTACCAGGAAAAGCTTGATTCAACAAGCCAAACCCCTCGGTTGCCACAATTAGTGGGCCAAAGCAACGGTAAAGATCGGTATGCATACCGGAACTACAAGCTCAGTTTGGTCAACGTTCCTTTCTCCATCATTGCACTTACCGAGGCCCTTCTTCGTGCATTTGCACTGGTTAACAAAAGTGCCGACCGTTTGTTGAGTACCTCTAGCTCGGTTTTTCGTCATGTGGCGTGCAACGGGACGGATCTGAGATCCTCTGTGACCTCTAGGAAGCAACTCCTTCACACAACTCCAGTAAATTCGAGATTACACTCGGTGATATCGGTCGGAAAGGCCTTTTCTAAAGTCTTAGTCGGCTCTTGAGTCAGGAAAATGAAAATTGAGAATGCAATTCATGGCAGAAAATACCGAAAGATGAGAAAAGGGGGGGACGAGGCAAGGTAGATCATTGGACTGCCAGTCTTGACTACGATAGACTTTGGGATATAAAATGCCGATTTTCCTCCCGCAAATATATTCCTTCCGCTCATTATCTCTTCACTCTTGAATTGCATCACTTGTCTTGCCAGAGAAGCCAAAATGTCCTCCACTTCTTTGAAGTTTCTGGTCTATGGCTGTGCGGCCGCCATGGCCGTGGCAAGCTCACTGCCTTCATCGAACTCGAGCGCCACGAGAGCAGCTGTCAAGGAGTTCCCTGAGTGCACCTCGTTGCACCAGAGAAAGTCCTGGTATGTTTAATTGACTTCGGATTCCTTGCTTCTCTGACAAGATCCTAGGACTGCGATGACAACCACCGAGAAGAAGGCTTACATTGACGCTGAGCTCTGCTTGATGAACAAGGCCCCCAAGTTGGGCATCGCCGGCTCGCAGAACCTTTGGGATGACATGATGTACGCCCACATCTACCAGGCCAACGTCATCCACAATGACGGCCCATTCCTGCCCTGGCACAGACTGTACAGTAAGTCTCATTTCGTTCTCACGGCTGAGGACAAGCAATAACGATCAACATCGCAGTGCGTGTCCATGAAGTCTACCTCCAGACTGAGTGCGGCTACGAGGGAGGCCAGCCCTACTGGAACGAGCTGGAGGACGCCGAAGCCGGTTTCTTGAACCAGTCCACCGTCTTCGATGCGGAGACCGGATTCGGAAGCTTCAAGAATGGCGACAATGGCTGCGTTGCCGATGGGCCGTTTGTGAACCTGACGATGCACTTGAACCAGACCAGCAGTGATGCGAACTTCTGCTTGACCCGCGATCTCGACCAGGACAGCTTCTACCAGGCCAACAGCACCTACGTCAATGAATGCATGGCCATCGAGACCTACGTCGATTCGTGGAACTGTTGGGGCACGGCACCTCATCTTGCCGGTCACATGGGTGTCGGCGGTACTGTGAGTCAAAATCCCATCTTCGAATACACTGGCGTATCTTGACTGACTCTTGCGACAACTAGATGCTGGATGTTGTCTCCAGTCCTGGTGACCCTTTGTTCTTCCTTCACCACACCAACCTCGACCGATTGTGGTGGGAGTGGCAATCCGTCAACCTCACCGCTCGTCTCAACGAGATTGGAGGGCCTGTGGTTGCTTCGGATGCCTTCCTCACAATGTCCAACCTCGATTACCCCGGTGCTGACCTCCTGGACTACAACGGGGAGAACGGCGGCAACGTGACCACCATGGCTCACAACCTTTGGACTGCGGGACTATTGCCCAATGTTACGATTGCGGATCTGATGGATATTCGCGGTCCTATCAGCTGTGCAATCTACATCTAAGTAGACTGCAACATGCTCGTGAGGTTGGAAAGGCGGCACGGCTAATGCTTCATGCTGTGGGATACCGGTATATGATGTACCGGAAGAACACGACCTCCTGCCTTGGGCGGTGATGCCTGCTACGGCATGACGAGGGTCTTTTCATAGACATATAGAACACTACTTAGCTTATCCTTTATATTGCTAGTACAGTGCTCGAACCTCGCTAAGCGTAGTTACTCTGGGTTATAAGATGTTACGGGGGGCTACGCATAAGCAGAAGGGTCAAATCTTGGATTATATATTATACTATCTTGTAGGAGGGTATTATATGGATTCTACGGGGTACTGTATGCGGTTATGTATTTTTAGCGCGATGTAGTCGCTTTTCGCCTTACTTGATGTCGGATTGGAAGTCCAATTCGACTGCGGCATACGGCCGACTGCGCAGGGGCCAATTGGGGGCCCTAATTACGATTATCGTAGCCAGCCCAACCTACGGTTGGAACCTCCTTTTTACACCTACTACGCAGATATTCATATACCTAGTTCAATTGATCTCTTCGTCAACTACGGTTCGAACCAACTACCCTGTAATAGGGATACCAACACTTGAGGACATCACGGCGTAAAATGGGACAAACAAACAAACAAACAAACCGGTATATGATGTGGGGGCCGTACCGCACATCACCTTACATGGAGCTTTGGGTCTATTGATCTCTTTCATTCCCCCATAACCAAGCCTACGAAAGTGCATGGTTATGGATACGCTCCTCAATGTACTTGCAATACCTCACTAGCTTGACTTTCTTCTATAGATATTCAAAGTCGGACAACGGCAATAGACTGTACTTACTCTTTAAATGACTATGTCTGTAATGCGACTCTTTTTACTCGCCTCTGAAAGGAATTGTGAGTCTGCTTCGATGTTTGAATCTGGGGTTGACCCCTGATGTATTGAGACAAAGAAAGGAGAATAGGGTGGCACAAAACGTGGCTAACAACCCACCGAATATGGGACCGTCTAGTGGCTTTAGTTATTTACAGGACTGCGAATGGACTCCATCCAACACGAGCCACCTTAGCCCCCATCAAAGCAACAAGGGAAAGGACATAGATAAGACCAGTGAACAAAATCAACCCCCAATATTCCCCGTTTTGCGCAGAAATGATCTCTCCAGCTACCGGCACATCGAAAAGGCAAGCAAAGGAGGCCGCCGTATAAGCCGTCGCATAGTACCGCCCATAACTCTCCGTCTTACAGAGTTTGCCGATACAAACCGGGCTGATGCTGATGTTGTTCCCGCTAGCGAAGCCAAACAGGACCACGAAGACGACGATGCCCGCCATAGAGGAGCCCGCCGGCAGCCACACGGCCAAGCAAGCGACGATGCTCAGCACAAGAGCCAGGATATTGGAGTTGAAAGGCCCGGCAAAGTCACCGAACCATCCTGCCAAGATACGTCCAGCTACACTTCCAGCATTCAGAATCGTAGGGATTTGATACGCAAAGTCGATATCGAAGCCCTTATGAATGGCATAGCTCGATATGTACGTGAGAGGAATGAAGAGTGACCACTCAAGGAGGAAGATGCCGAGCGTAGTCAACGCAAATGCCGGATCTCGGAGTATACGGATGTTGGGATGAACCGAGGCGTCAGGGTTTGGCGGCAGTCGTCTGTCGATGAGAAGAGTCGCAGCCCCGCAGGAAACCAGGACGATGAACCCGACGGTCCGAATCGCCCATGCCCAGCCAGCTCGTTCGAAGAGGGCACGGAGCATCATAGGGTATACGATGCCTCCGAAACAACCTCCAGTGGAAGCAATGCCGGTGGCGAGTCCTCTGCGGTGGTAGAACCAGTGACCGACGGCTGCGAAGGACGGCGTGAACAAGAGGGAGGCGCCGACGCCGTTGAGGACTCCGAAGACGAGCATGAAGTGCCAGAACTCTGGTCAAAGATTATTGTCAGCTGACTAAATTTATAAGGTTCCAAAGGTCGTAAGGAAGAGTATACGCACGCGTAGAGATGCTCAACAACATCTGAGCCGCCACGACACAGACGGTGCCGGACAGGATCAACCACTTCGGGCCATACTTGTCAAAGACGGGGCCAATGTAGATCCCACAGAAGAAGCAGAGGAACATGTACATGGAGAAAATCCAGCCGATGGTGCCTTCGCTGTAACCTTGTAGCTGGTGGGAGCTGATGTAGGCGTGGATGGTCGCCACGCTGTTTGAGATGCCCAAGGCCGAGAAGGATGCGAACCAGGAGCCTAGCACGACAGACCAAGCTCGCAGGCCTCCTTCGGGGTATTCATCTTCTGGGTTCGGGATGGTCTCGTCGATGCTCGGGTTGTACTGCGGTTCCGGCTTCGAGTCTCGGTTTTCGGCCCTGTCGGTAGTGTGGTTCCGAGTCATGTCGTGGATTCCCTCAGGCGCGGCCTGGTTCTGCTGAGAGGATCTCAGTGGTTGAGACATCTTCAACTTGGCAAGTCGCTTGAGTAAAGAGATGATTTGGAGAGAAATGGGCAAACATCATCTAGAGACTTGGGGAGCTCCAGCGAGATAAATAGTCTTCGCAGCAGAGTGATGAGTGACTCAAGCAACAATGGCAATAATCTCTTCCATTCCCCTAAAGGCAATTGTAATCGAGGTCTTGACTTTCGAAAACCAACGCAACTAAAGACGTTTAGACTCCATAGGGAAAAATGCATGGGTCATCCTACATATTTCTACATATGCACTCCACGCAAAGCGCGCCCTGCAACTGACATCCGAGAAGAAAGCGGGCTAGACCTCTACGGGAAAGAGGAAAAATTCAAAATTTCAAGAACAGCGTCTTCAACCCGGCCACTTCTTTGTTTCCTTGACAAAAGAATATGGGCACCAGCCAATGACCTGTCGTCTTCCTCTTCCACGTTTTCTTAGAAAGGTAACTTACGCCTATGTGGGACCGGCGTCGGCATCGGCTCCGGCTCAACGACCGGTGTCGCAATCGCGGGAAAACAGGGGACCCCACAAGTGGGGCGGCCCGAAAGGCAGTTTAAACGTCACATCTCCCACCTCCAAATGACTCCGAGACTCGGAATGAACGCTAGATCTTACCTTTAGAAGACAAGCCGTCAACCCACACGAATCTCCCGCCAGGGTCACACCAGGGAAGGAAACTCGAGACGATGCTCCTCCGGATCGTGGGCTCTCTCCAACACCTCCGGGCCTCGACCATCGTCTACGCTCTCATCGCCCTCCTCCTCCCCGTCACCCTCACCCTAGCCTTCATCCTCCACAATGGCGATGCCGCATCCACGCGCAGGAAGCTCCGGAACCTGGAGTCTATAGGTGTCCCGGCCAATAAGAGCCACATGGCAGACCAATTCGACTCCAAATATGCATTACCGGAAGACACACCGTCGAGCAACCAGGGGCCGATCCGCATCAAGTCAATCTACATCCACCCGATCAAATCCTGCGGCTTCGTCGAAGTAGACAGAGCCCTCCTCACAAAGACAGGCTTCGCCTACGACAGATGTTTCGCCCTCGCAGCCGAGACGCCGGACCCGGAAACGGGCGCCGTCTCCTGGAAACTCATCAGCCAGCGCACGAAGCCAAACATGTGCCACATCCAGACAGAAATCCACCTCCCTCGGAAGAACAGCGACCAGCGAGACCCCCTAGTCCAAGCCGGCGGCTGCGTCCTCGTAACCTTCTCAGACCCAGACCCCCCAACCTGGACCCAACGCATCGAGACCTTCCTCTCCAACCCCTTCAGCCCCTCCGCAACACCCCAAATTTCCTTCATCGTGCCCCTGAACCCCCCCTCAACCCTCGTAGACGAATTCAACATCGGCCTCAAAACCTTTGGCATCCACGCCCGCGACGCCTCCGGGCTAGACATGTCCCGCATCCCCTCCGTCGCCACGACCCTCCTGCCGAAACTGAAGAAATTCCTCGCCATCCCGCCGAACCGCGGCCTGACGCTCACGCGCTGCACCCCCGAGACCTTGACGCGGACGACCCTCAACCTCGCGCCCGTGAGCCACATCGGCTCGCCCGCCGTCCACGGATACACGGACCAGCAGCCCGTCAACCTCAACAGCTTATCCTCCGTCCACGCCGTATCAGCGCTGCTGCCGCCGGAGAACAGACCGCTTGACGCCCTCCGCTTCCGCGCGAATCTATGGGTCACGGGAGCGCCGGCGTACGTGGAAGAGACGTGGAAGCGATACCGCATCATCCCCAAGGAAGACCTCTCAGATAACAGAAAGCCGCGGGCGGACGTCTCACCAAAGCTCTCCGTCGTCTGTAGAACTTCCCGCTGTACAATGCCAAACGTCAACCTCGCTACGGCAACCTTTGACACGGAGAACCCTGCGTCCGCTGAAAAGAAGAAGGGGAAGCCGCAGCCTAGCACGACGCTGATTGAGCACCGTACTCCGGAAACGGGGAATCCCAAGGCGCTGGGATACCTCGGGATGCATTGCGTGCCCGAGGACGATGATCTGGACGAGGCTAGGAGGCAAGGGAAGGGGCTGTATGTCCATGTCGGCGATGAAGTTGAAGTTCTTGAGACGGGGGAGCATTTGTATGGGTCTACTGCGAATGATTATTGAGGTGGCTACTTCCTGGGAGGGTTTGGGACAAGGAGACCTGAGCGGCAATGAAAGCGCTGCTGCTTGAGACTTGCATGGAAAGGTAATGAAGGCGATGTCTAAATCAGCTTATTGAGGAGGGAATATGGAAGCAATCTGGTGCAAGGTGCTTAGGAGCTGGGGTGACGTTGAAAAGTTCATCCTTTGTGGTCAAGGGACCCCTCTAGATGGAAGACCTGAATGGCTTTACTAGCCACTTGGAAGTTGCCAAAGTGGAATTACCCACGAACTCAAAACTTTTCCATCATTTGGTCTCGTTCAACGGAAAGTCTGGTACTTAGCATAGACTGTGAGGTAGACAAAAGCTGATAGTGATGGCTTTGGGCCGGTATAGGCCAACATGATGTCCTTCACAACCCAGCAAGAACCAAGGTCTGCAGAAAAGGGGTTAGCATTAACACGAGATGGATGGGGGATCTTGATGAAATGAAGCCTCTAATCGTCTATTTGCTGCTGGCTTTCATCGCCTGCTTCATTCTATTCCACATCTACATCTATACCAATCCGTCTACACCACATCACTCCATCACAACCCACAGTCTCTAAAGCCCATCTTTCAAGCCTATCAAACCTCTGCTAAACTCCCAAAACAACCCGTCACTTACCTCCCAACGCCAACCTCCCCAAGCACCCTCCTCGCCCCCAACTCCCTCCACTTCCCCACCGTCTCCGGCCTCGAAGCCCACACGACACCAAGCATACCGACAGCATTCACATCCGCCCCGTCGACGCCCGCCTTGACCCTAGGAACCACAACAATCCACCGCCTCCCGAGAATAACATTATGCGGCACCGCCACGGCCCTCCCGTCCCCGTCCTCCTCGACAACCTCCTCCCGGCCGGGAATCAGCTCCGTCGCCTGGCGGAGCATGTCTCTGTATTTCGCCGTGAGGTCCTTCGCCGAGGGCGGTGATGTGCCGCTAAAGCGGTGGATGAAGTACCGGAACGGCGGCTCTTGCTTCCCGTCACCGACCGCTTCCGCCCCTGTCCCGGACCCGGCGTCGACGAGGTCAGGCCACATGGGAATCGCTCCCGGCGCAGGGATAACCTGCATATGCTTGTGCAACCGACTGCACCCGCCCTCCTTACCACAGTTGAAGATGACCAAGTACTCTCGTCTCCCGTCCTCGCCAACAGCATCCGCATCACCACCCCACACCCCATTCAAACCCCCCAAAACCTTCACCGCAGCCCGGAGATCCCGCTCACCCAGCCCCTCAAACTGCCTCCTCCTCCCATCGGCAGTCAAGAGGAGAAGATGCGGCCTGTACGCGCAGAACTTGTTGAACGCCAGCACATGCGTAGCCTCTTCATCCCCGCCGCCGCCGACGGTCGTGAGCTCGAAGCCCGCGATGCTGATGTCGCCTCCGGGAAGGTTTCCTTCTTCGTCGAGGGTGATCTTGTTGTTCTTGTGTTTGCCATCGTCTTGGGTATGAGTGTTGGCGTGCGAGGTTGCGCTTGCGTTTGTCTGAGACGGAGGGCCATCGTCATCTGCTTCGTCTAGCCCCGCGTTGTCTTCTACCGCGGCGGGCTTGCTTTTCAACGCAGCCGTTAAGCGGAACTCAAACTAGACAGAATCGTCAGCTTCAGTGGTTCCCTACGATTCCCTTGGTTTTAAAGCCCCTTACTATCCCTTTCTCTGCCCTTTATCACCATCTGTCTCAGTTTTCTCGTCAAGTAAAAAGCAAGACGGGAACGTACGGATACGCCCGTTATTCGTACCACAACTACAAGGATGAAATCCGGTGAAGAAGAGAAAAGAGAAAAGAACTGACCTTGAAACCTCCATCCTCGTGATAAATCTTCTCCATGTCCTCCGCGTACATCACAATTCCGTCCCGAACCTTTTCATCAAAGGCAGCGAGGACCGAGGCCTCGGTTATCGGAGAAGCCATTGCGCTTCTCCCTGCTCTGATGAGGTCCCACGCTTGGAGATGATTCAAAAGCGGCAACTAAGAGATGAGTGCCGAATGATAAATTGGAGCGAAGTATTAACAGGATGTTAACATGAGAGGAGTTGTTGTACTCCGTAGACGAATCGACATGTTGAACGTCGCAGGAGTGGCAGTCGGAATGAAAGCCGGTTATTGGCCAGCTGCATATGACGACATCAGAAAGTACCCCCTTGCATCGATAATTGCACAACGCGACAACGTTCAATCTTAGGTTCTAAACTCCCAGAACGGTTTCCTGCATGATGTTTGCGAAAAGTCATAGTTGAACTTGATGCTATTAAGATTTTAGAGTATCAACTGCGTGACGTTCCTCTCGCGCCCGCTTTTACGTTTTGTCTCCAAAAGAGGTATTATACTACAATTTTCCACCACGCTTGATCCCCCCCTGACGCCATCATCGACTCGTCAATATGCCTCCCCTTAGGTAGACACTGCCTGTACCTCGTCTCATACTGGGAGCGGCTTATGATGCCAGATACACCCCCACTCTACACCACCGTCGACCCCGTCCCTCGTTATATGGGCAATCGTATCTACGCAGGAGGAACGGGGGCAGCGGGACCGGTGCCAGTCGCGGCGCCTCGTTGGGCGGGAGGAGGGAGGAAGAGGGGCAGGTAGCTGACGGCAAGAGCCATAACTGTCATGTATCGTCAGTGAACAGGCTCGTGAAAATGCGACGAAGGGGTCGGGTAGATACATACCTGACATGCCCACGGAGAAGTATCCCGGCGTCGCGGAGCTCTTCTTCGTCTCCTCGCTCTCACCAAGCCAAGTCTGAATGCTGAAGACGACGGAAGCCCTATTTCATAGCCTGTCAGTAAGTCTGATCTTCGACCAAAGCTCATGTAGACCCCTGTGCTATGGTTGCTTGGCCGCCACAGCTCGGTACAGTGCCAGCAATGCTATTCGTCTCGATGAGGGTGAACAGAAAATGTGCCATACCATCCGATAAACTTGTTGCGCGTAAGCATCGCAGCCATTGGCAGGGTAGAAGACAGCGTCGAGGAGAGCTCGGTGGAGTCGCCCTTGGCCTTGGGCTCCTGATAGGGGACGACTGCGCGGGAGAAAAAGGTTAGCAGACATTCGCGACAGGATAGGAGTGGTGCAAAACATACTCAGGTCCGGCCGACGCATATCCCGCTTGGACGCCATTGTGAGAGCTCTGTTTGAACTGGATGTGCTGTACGTGGAAGGCAGAGAGCTATAGCGGAGGGGGTTCGTTAGATACCACGGTCCTGGATGCGCGAATGAAGCTCTCACCTCAAGTGACAGGGCCGCACTCCAACAGAAAAGTGGCGCCTAAGTCTTCAGGCAGCAACACACGCGACCCCAAAGAGCTGGGGAAGGACAGAAGGGAAAGGGAAGGGATAGGCTGGCCGATTGCCCCGCCCCGCTTGCACACACTCAGCCGACGACACGTTTTCTGCTATATCTACGCCCCCCCACTCTTCTCTCCCGGAAGGTGCCTGGGGGTGTGTATCTTGTCGCGCGAGCCGTCAAGCGGCCCCTCCGAACGCCGCCGCCCCACGAACCGATCTGACAGTGGGAAGCAAAAGTTGCAGAGATTCCGAGGGACGCGGATTCCGATAACGAACAGGCTCACACTTTGCGTGCCCGGGATTTCCAGAAACCTGATACCAAAAGATGGGGATCGCCGTCTGCCCAGTGCGAAGGTGGGAGGACGCTCCCGCCGACGGGCTTAACCTTGCGAAGGTGTTCGTTCCGCTGCCGAATTCGACTCCAAGAGTGTGTCCGGGAATTGGAGAGCCAAGTTTACAGACTGCAACGGATAACCTCCGCTGGACATTGTCTACGTGTGCCAACGCTCTGTAGGGGGAGATATGACAGGATCCCGAAATGTCTGACTCTGGGACGTGGACCACTGGATACTCTGGGTGTCGAAGTTTGCGGGGCCTCGGAAGATGCGGCCTACGGAGGGTCCAAAAGAAAGGAGAAGGGCAGAACAGCTGCATATTACTCCGGCGTCTTCTCCGTGGCCGTGGTAATCATTCGCAGCATGGAGCTTTGCCGGAGCATTTTGTTTTGCGCGCCTGCACGGCACCCTTACGAAATCCCCTTCTCCGTTATCTGGCGCGGAAAGTATCGCCCGTATGCGGGCCCCTCTGCAGCAAGACGAGCACGAGATAACAGCTAGGCTGCGGCCGTCTGCCCTTGCAGGCACAGCTATATTCCCCCACACGGGGCCTGCAGGAGAAGGAAAGGAGGGCCCTGGTGGCCCTTTTTTGGAGTTCGCTTGGAACTTTCGAAAGAAGGTTTTCGACATCTTCTGGGGCCCTGGGCTGGGCATTGTCGGGGAAGCGGCCTTGGAGTCTGGAGATGCGGTGTGCTAACACTGCTGCTATACCTACCATCGTGGCCTGTGCTTGTCCAAATAGCCCTCCAGACGCGGGCTTTGGTCGCAGCGACACGGAGCCTAACATTATAGATGTCGTTTGGCGAATAAGAGCCGGATAACTCTTGTTGGGCTCTGCGAAACGTGGATGCCGCTGGAGAGGAGTCTGGTAGAGTGGTGGAACACGGAATAAAAGCCAACGAAAGGCCTCCAGCTGGCATAGTTGATGGGTCTGTTTGACGAGCAAAAACCCACTCAGCACCAGCAGAGCCCGAAGCAAGTCAGGCACGGCGACCCGACTACCTATGATTGCGCATACCTCATCAGAAAAATGACTCGAAAGTTGGTGACCGCGGTCATACGGTAGGTAGCAGGTTGTGTCAGCTGGAAGAAGATGGCCGATGCCATCGTGTGTTTTCTTGTGTTTATGGCAGGTGTTCGGCGGCTTCTCAGTGGCCACCCCCGCCAGGTACCACCTGATTTGCAGCGGCGGATCGCATGCAGCATGATGGCAGATTGCGTGACACCTGGCGGCGATTCGGCCATCAAAGACATGGACAGCGCGTGGGCGACGCAAACCAAGGAGCCGCGGTGCCACGGCGGCCCGGTGCCTGGTCTGGTGTTGTAAGACCGGCGGGCGTGGTTTGGCACATTTTGGTTCGCCGGCCGAAGACAAACTTTCCCAGGGCCTGGAGAAGGAGTCTATCCCAGGGCCCCAAGGAGAGTCGGGATAGTCGACCGGGATGCTGTTCGATATAAGCCGAAGGGTACTATAGCCCCCCTCCCTCAGTGGTTGAGCCAGTGGTTGAAAAGGTCCCGGGGATAATGAGAGCCAGAGACAGGTGTCCCACGAGACCGGAGAGTATGGACGAAACGCGGGAAGAGTTAGGGCCGGTTCTTTGTGTCAAACGGGGATGGTGGGTGCTGTGAATCTGGTAGCCATTCTCTGCGGAAAGCAGTGCCGCTCGCTCAGATCGTCTACCAATTTTGCAGAGTTGGGCCTGTTCTTCTTGTCCCTCACCACCTGTTCGGGAGTCGGGAGAGCGGGCTGATGGGACGGTGGGAGAGAGGGAGGGGGAAGGGATGAGACAAAACACACGGGGTCGTAGACAAATCAGATGCAAGAGAGAAAAGGGCAAGACAGGCGTCGCTCGAAGCGAATGTGTCGATAATGGCGATGATGCGTCGTCCTGTCGATTTTGGGTTGGATGGTGGCGTTGAAGTAAAGCACCCGAAAGTGGTAGCTAAGATGCAAGTGGCAGCTAGTTACGGAGACGAACACTTGCCAACCTGCCGCTCTGCGAAAGCGACAACTGCCCAGGTGTATTCGATAGATACTAAGAACTGACAAACTACCCACGGAAGGGACGTTTGGTGCGATTGGACGGGTTAAGAGAGCGGCAGAAGGCCAGGCCGGGCGATAGGGGCAGCTGTAGTCGTCTTGGGGTCTTGGACCGACTGCGGCTAACAACATCCTCTCTCCGCCCTTCCGTCTGGTGATGCGTAGATGGGCTCTGCCATTCCAGCGGTACGGAACACCGAAGGAAGCAAGATTTAGACCTGGGCAAAAGGGACACCCGGGCGTTTGGGTTCCCTAGCCTGTCGGAGTTTCCAGTGTGCTGCCCACTCCAGGTACCTCCAGAGTCCAGAGTATCCGTACAGGTAGGAAGAGTCTAGGAGAGTGCAAGTGTCTTTACTAAGCGGTGGCCCGGTCCTTGTCAGCATCGACTGCGAACTGACACTTGTCTAATTTAGCATGCTTCGGGTTATTTCGATGACTGCCAAAGTTTATACGCGAGGATGCAAGTCCGATACGGAGCTTGGGAAAAAGGCAAAAGGGGGCTTACGATGATGATGATGTTGATAATGGCGATAAGTATCTGTAATCCATCATTGTCTTACATCTCAGCACTCCAAAGAGCCCATATGGATACACTGAGTGACTGACAAGGAACGACTTTTAGAACTGGACAAGCCAGAAAGGAAACAAGACCGGGGCGAAGGTCACTTGGAGGCGGGAGTGGGCGAATCAGCTGTAAGACATTGGCTGAACAAACCAATGAGACGGACTGGGCTCCATGGCGGCGGACGGGGGTTGTCCTTGGACTGACGGATTTTGGAGGCCCCATTGGCATCAGGGGACTGAGAGGAGAGAGAGGAAAAGAGACAGAAGGGGGGGAGGTGTGTGTTCTTTCCCCCCAGCTGATCGAAGAATCGGCCTAACCTATTCAAGCCAAAGCGCCAGCTTGGCCTGGTTGTCGTCGATAATGTGTTGACAGGAAGCTTCCGATTTCCATTCCTAGTTCATTACATCGCATCGTTACCAATTGTTCATCATACGACCAGTCTCAGGTTACGG